AGGTTTCGGCATCAGTTGTAGAAGTTTCAAGTTCATTAAGTTTGAATCTGAGGGTGATTCGTGTTTTTAGCATTATTTGATGTAATTTGAGGGCTCGACTAAGTTCATATGGTGTTTTAGGACTTGTTGGTATATTGGGTTGAGGTCCCGGGGGGCCTCGGGTGTATTTCAGATGCTTAACGGATTGAGTTTTGGAATTAGGCAAATGGCTGAAGCTTTTGGTTTCTGGCATTTTCGCACCTGCGGTGGGGAGACCGCAGGTGCGGGAACGCACGTGCGGAGTGAAGGGCGCAGGTTGCGCTTTTGGTCAAGGAGGTCTGTGAACACAGGTGCGAGAAGGGAGCCGCATCTGCATATACGCAGATGCGGAATGATGGTCGCAGGAGCGGTATGGGAGGCTTGGGCAAGGGTCGCAGATGCGGAGGTTAAACCGCAGGTGCGGCCCAAAGCTCGCAGATGCGGTCCCAGCCATTTAAGTCATTTTCGCACCTGCGATGGATTTCCCGCATGTGTGGTACCGCAGGTGCGGTTGAAGGCTCGTAGAAGCGAGTTTGTTGGGCAGAAAATAGGATTTCGAGAGTTGATTTCCCATTTCGATTATGGGACTTTGAGAGCTCGGATTGGGCGATTATTTGAGGGATTTTCAGAGAAAACTTTTGGATAACGATTCTTAACACATTTATGGTTATATTCCACTAATATATGGTTGATTTCATCATTTAATTTTGGATTTGGGTTGAAATTTTGGGGAAAATGGGAAGAAGTTTTTCAACTAAGATTTTGGGTTTTGATTGAGAATTTGACATCAGATTTGGATAATTTTGGTACGAGTGAACTCATGAGTGAATGGGTATTCATATTTTGTAACTTTTACCCGATTCCGAGATGTGGGCCCCGGGAGACTTTTTGGAGCAATTTTCTAATTTCTTGCTTTAGCTTTGATTTCACTAATTAGATTAATTTCTTATAGTTGTATTTATGATATGTAATTGATTTTGGCTAGATTTGGGCCATTCGGAGTCGGATATTCGTGGAAAATGCATTGTTACCGTTTGATTGAGCTTGGTTCGAGGTAAGTGGCTTACCTAACCTTGTGTGGGGGAAATCCCTTTAGGATTTGGTACTATTGTGAAATGTGAACGCTGTGTACGTGAGGTGACGAGTACGTACACAGGCTATTTGTTGAAAAACCCAATTTATTTTACTGAGTAGTAACTTGTTTTTTCTTTAATTTAAATTATACCGTTTAAATGAGTATTAGTCTGTTTTCATTCTTAATTGAGCAAATTCCAATATGTGTAGTTATCCTGCTTAGTCTAATATCGTATGTCTACGTGCTTTAACTGCTTATTTGAAGTCTGTGAAGCATGCCTAGGTTATTCCTATTTTTTTCCTTGTTCTTTATCAGTATAACTGTAGAAATCTTGTTATTAACCGTTGTATTTATCGGTTTGACCTGTGTGTTTACTTTTGAGACTACGGGCAGTTCCTCGGGAGTTCTCCTTGCACATTTACGTTTGAGACTACGAGGCGGTTCCTCGGAAGTTCTCCCTGCATATTTACTTTTGAGACTATGAGGCGGTTCCT